CGGCAACTCGTTCGAGCCTCGAAGGCGAGGTCCGTCTGGAGCGAATCACATGGCATCAATATGTTTGGGTGACGCCCACGATCTAAAGACGAAATCCCGAGCACACCGCGCTTTATGGCGCAAGACTGCAAGGAATTGCTACAAGGCGCTCTCCATGGAGGAACAAGCACCTGCATCAACGGACACCTTCTGAGGTCCGCGCGGATTTCTTGGATCAGCGCTGCACCATCCTCCCGGGCGCGCGGGGCGCGCCAGGAGCGTCGCCAGAGGCGCCGCCAGGAGGGCCCCAACGCCGATCCCCGAAATACGCCGTTCATGTTTACAGTGGAGGCCCGTCCACAAGAATCCTTCCACAAGAAACCCAAACCTGAGACCCCAGGACGTTCATTGACTTTTGGTATGGGAACGTTACGCTTCTCATCGCAAAGCCACCGAAACCCAGGAAAACCAGGGCACCCTGGAGGCGAGCAGGGTGCTTCTTGGCATGGGCCCCCACTGCATGCTGATGCCGTTCTTCTCCTTCAATCCACCGTCGCCGCCCGAGGCTCCCACGAACAGACCTCGCGAGCAACGCCCTCCCGCTCCTTCGGCCCGATCCCTGGAGACACGCAGGAGCGTCCCGGGGCAAGAGTGACCTCTGATGAGGGGAACGAGCAGTGACAGAAACATCAAAAAGACTCGGTAGTCAGCAGCCTGCCTGCCCAGCTCCGTCCAGCCCTCTGCCAGCCTGAGATTGGAGGTCCGAGGAGGGCAGATAGTTGTTAGGGGAACGAACAATGGCATAAACATAAAAACTCGGAGGTCCGCGCGGATCTCTCGGATTGGCGCTGGACCCCCCTGGCGGCGCCTTTCGCGCCGCCCCTGGCGCGCTCCGTGCGCCAGGGAGGGGGTTGCAGCGCCGATCCGAGAAATCCGCGCGGACCTCTGAGTTTCTTATGTCTATGTCAGTGTTCGTTCCCCTGTTGATGCGCGGCTCCAATTCGTCGGGCGGGGGGAGGGGGCATATCTAAACGCGAATGCCAGTGCCTGGGGGGGGCACTCGAGGCCGCTGTCAGCCTGCACCAAAATTGGCGGCGCGCAGAAAGGAGGTAGGGGGAGGGAAAAAGGCTTCTTAGAAGGAGGCTGCTTCTCAGAAGGCGCCCTTCCTACACCTACAGACAAGGCCCGCGCCTGAAAGGAAGCAGGGGTGCTTCTCAGAGTCCTCCGCCCCTCACCCTACCCACCTAATCGCGTGGCTGGTCCCTCTGAGCACGCACCAACTGTTGCCACACGCCGCTGTTGGGCAGGCGACCTTCTGACAGCGTCCGCGGCGACACCGACAGCGAATCCTGCTCGAAATGAGCAGCAAACCTTGTCAGTCCTTGCGCACATGATGTCTGTGCCCATTTCGACCGTCCCGATGTGGAGAAGGCCCGCGTCTCTTAAAAAACAGGGGCGTGGCTGGTCCCTGTGAGCCGACACCAGAGGTCACTCTTACCCGTCCGCGGGAGATCGTGGACATCTCCAAGGGTACATTGTGCACACCCGCATCGCGCATACCACCTAATCATAAATTCCTCCAGGTGGTGCTGTTGGTGGTGGTGGTGGTGGTGATGCGCTTCCTGCTCCCAATCCTCCTCCATCTGCTCCTCCACCTTTTCATCCTGCTCCTACTCCTCCTCCTCTTCCTCCTCCTCCTCCTCCTCCTCCTCCTCCTTTCCTCTTCCTCCTCCTCCTCCTCCTCCTCCTCTCCTCCTCCTCCTCCCTCCTCCTCCTCCTCCTCCTCTCCTCCTCCCTCCTCCACCTCCTCCTTTTCCTCCACCCCCTCGTCCCTCTCCTCGCCCCCCTGCTCCTCCACCTCTGCCTCCCCCTCCTCCCCCTTCTCCCTCTCCTCGCCCCCTCTGCTCCTCCCCCCCTGCCTCCGCCTCCCCCCCGCCTGATGTCCGGCGATGCGACGCTGCTCAGAATCTTCCAAAGCGCGAGCCCGCACCAAAGAGCGAGTCGCACGCGCAACCGGCTTCCAAGGGCCGACCATGGCCCGATGCCCCGGGCGGCGGCCTTCCCGGGCTCGGCGGCCGCCTCCGCATCCTGCCGGGCGCCGCCCGCCTCCGCGCCGCGCGCCGCGGCCGGCAGAGGGGAGCGGGGCAGCGGGGAGGGACAAGCGAGCGGTGGAGCGTCCTCCGCCTTTTAGCCCTTTTTGGGGGCTCTCTTGTTCGAGAAGGCAAACTACGAATTGATCCAGACGACCGCAGTACGCGCGAACCAGAATTTGATGCTCAATCATGACAAATGTGAAACTGCAACGCACTGATACCACTTGACCACCCAGTCGAAACGCTATGATCGAGTAGCCCCCTTTTCGGCTGATAAAACGAATGTAAAAACAAACAGGCGACATGTAAATAGCAAATGCGACTGAGCAAACTAAGTGACATCATAACTGATGCAAGCGGAAGGCAAATATGATTTAGGCGTGAACGTGTATGGGCTTCCTCGCATGCGAGACACTACTGTTCAATGCCATAAAGCACCAAGTCATACATAGTAATTAAACTAATATGTAGTGTGAGCGCGTCGAGGAACACGCGGGACTCATCTGATCCTGAACTCAAGTCCTCGACAGAGCGGCGCGGGAGAGCAACCACTACATACATACAAATGTATCGATATATAGAGATGGGAAGGAGCGTGATCCACCGCCGCTTCACTGTGGAACATTGCCCCCCTCTTCCTCTGGAACCCGAGGGTCCCCCCTCCCCCTCTCCGAAAATCCCCCCCCCCTGCTGGACCCCCCCCCTCCTCCCTTCCCCGGCAAACCTCCCCCCCCCCCTCCCCTGACCCCTCCCCCCTCCACCAAGGATTTAAAAGTTGATTGTGGCATATCGTTAAAGAGGAGTCCCAGCGCAACCGTTGCCATTGCGAACAGGCGCCTTTTGGGAAATACAAGGTATGTCGAAGTCTGCCAGCTTCGTTGAATGTCAACGCGACCTGCGTCGACACTCATGAGCATCTTACTGATGCTCGAACTATGCCAATGAGCAGCGAGTGCGTGAATTCCTATCAGTGGTTCCAGTGAATCCTTGCGGATGCGTGGCTCCAGTTGTTTTCATCAGTGGCAGGCACGAGCTACCGCCCGCCACGGAGTGTTAGTCAAGTTTTCCATCTCTGAAAGAGCGTGTTCTACCGCTGCTGGCGGAAAACCGGGTGGGGTCACTACCGGTTCGAACCCCCCCCCCTCGAAAACCGGAGGGGGGGTCACTATCGGTTCGAACCCCCCACTGTCCCACTGAGCTGTCCCACTGTTCCCACCACTGTCCCGACTGTCCCCACCACTGTCCCCACTGTACCTCTGTCCCATTGTCCCACCGCCGTCCTCGCCACCGCCTTCACCACTGTCCCCACCACCACTGTACCCTCCACTGTCCCACTGTTTCCACCTCATTCCCACTGTCCCCACACCACTGTCCCCACCACCACCGTCCCCACCACTGTCCACTGTCCCCACTGTTCCCACCATTGTCCTCACCACTGTCCCCACCACTACAGTCCCCACCACTGTCCCACTGTCCCCACCACTGTCCCGCTGTCCCCTCACCACTGTCCCCACCACCACCGTCCCCACCACTGTCCGCACCCCCCCTCGGTTTTCGAGGAGGGGGGGGGGGTTCGAACCGGTAGTGACCCCCCCCCGGTTTTCCGGAGGGGGGGGGGGGGGAGGGGTTCGAACCGGTAGTGACCCCACCCGGTTTTCCGCCAGCAGCGGTAGAACACGCTCTTTCAGAGATGGAAAACTTGACTAACACTCCGTGGCGGGCGGTAGCTCGTGCCTGCCACTGATGAAAACAACTGGAGCCACGCATCCGCAAGGATTCACTGGAACCACTGATAGGAATTCACGCACTCGCTGCTCATTGGCATAGTTCGAGCATCAGCAAGATGCTCATGAGTGTCGACGCAGGTCGCGTTGACATTCAACGAAACTGGCAGACTTCGACATACCTTGTATTTCCCCAAAGGCGCCTGTTCGCAATGGCAACGGTTGCGCTGGGACTCCTCTTTAACGATATGCCACAATCAACTTTTAGATCCTTGGTGGACACCTGCAGTCCTAATGCCACTGAAGTACCATGAACTAGTCATGGATGCTTCAATACACCAAGAAAATCTGCCATCACGTCCTGAATCAAACTCCGTGGTTAGATGAGATGAGACCCCCGCACAACAATGCCTCCAGTAGCCGATTTACACGATGTCCTGCAACCGGCACAATCAATTTTGGCCCACGCAATTCATACTCTAGGGCATCCTTGCTAAAGAGCCCTGGCCCGAGGTCCCAGGGCATGAGGGCCAGTTCCGCAGCCCAAATTTTCTGCCTCACATCGGTGCTGCGATGTGCGACCACCCGCATGAAGATTGCGCAATGGAACCCTCTCTCTCTGAGCGACTATGACAGGAGACTCGAGGTGGCACAACAGCTACGATTCGCGGATGTGGTGCTGCTTGCTGGCACAAAGGTGAAGAAGCAGCGAGATGCACCTACGTACCACGACGTGTCCCTCCAATAACAGTTCATTATGATCAAGTTTGGATGGCAGGGCCCACGAGGAGCGATGGTCAACAAATCTTGTGGAATGGAGATATGGTTGAATCGGAGACGATTTCGAAGGGCACAGCTGGTGCACTTCTGGGCAGTCCCCCAGGGGCTGCAAGGACGACTGGGCGCCGTACGAGTGAGATCAAGCCAGCACGACTTCACCTTTGTGGTCAGCTATTTCCCCCCGAGGTGCACAGACGCCAAGAGCATTCCAAGGTATGAGGCGACGGTCAGGACGCTGGTTGAACAGTTACAACAGATTGCTGCGGGGACCCCCAACCGATCCACGATGATTGCGGCGACGGATCTCAATGATGGCTTGGGTATACGGAGTGTCGACGGCATACAGCAAGCAGTGGACAGTGAGAGTTTGGGGCCACACGGACGCATCATAGAGCATCAAGCTGACACTCACTACCGAGACTGGATGGAGCAGAACAACCTGGCGGCGATTACGAGCTGGTATCCCTGTGGCCCGACATATTACGGCCACCGCAGCTGCAGCCATATAGATCATATGGTGATCTCCGCCCCTTGGATGTGCCGTGTGAAGAGCTGTGCTGTCGCGTACTGCCTCACTAGACGGGTACGTGCGATACCTAGTGTGGCGGTGCTGGATCACATGATTATTGTTGCGGAGCTGGACTATGAACTCACGTACAGTGCGCCTGCCAACCACGGCGTACACTGGGACTACCTCTCACTGGGACGTGCGATGAATGACAAGGAAGAGGCACTACAGTTCCGAGAGGAGGTGGAGGGGGCACTGGCGAAGCAATTACACGAGGACGGGTACCTGGAGGTGGACGCCTGGATGCGCGCTCACACGCTCGAGACGGCCTGGGAGAAGGTGGTGACGACGATCCGCACGGTTGCCCAAGCTCGGCACAGCACGGCACGTCGACATCGGCCGCAGTGGTACGTAGAGATGGCGAGAGAAAGAGAGGCTGCGCTGAGGGCTCGTACCAGAGCACGTGACAAACTCGACGGCGACCTGGACAGCATCCGACGACTGCGACAGTGCACGCGACGATGCAAGCAAGCAAGGATGACCATCAAGAGGGAACGACAGAACGAGCTGAATCGCGAACTGGGGGAGGCACTACGAGGTAATCGAGAGGATCTGGCCCTGAGGATCAGTTTTCAGATGGCGGGCAATGGATTGGGGCCACGGAAGCGGAATCATTACATACTACCTGATGCCAGGCCTGACCTACAAACGTGGACGGGGGACTTAGCACTGAGTGGACGGGAGGGTGGGATGGAGGCCACTGCCACTACGACGGAGGAGTTTATTGGTGCAGCGTCCGCCCACGACTATCCATTCTACCCCGAAATGGAGCACTGGGAGCAGGCCAACCGTGACCTGGATGGAGTAATTGCGAAGTTATACCAAGGACGACGCCGACGTGCAGCACCACCGTGGTCACTACCGATGGAGGTTTGGAGTACTCTTCTCACCTGCCGCGCGCCACGACGCACCACCAATGACCAACCAGCTGTGGCGGGTGCTTACCTACAAGAGTGTCTTCTGGCACAGCTAGCGGGAGTACGACAACACAATCGACTCAACGCCTGGTGGAACCTCTCGCAGACGTATCAGGTAAGCAAGCTGAATCACAAACCACGGACGAGGGGGACACGTCTACTACACGGGCTCTGCAATTTCGGCAAGGCATGGGTGGGGGCGAGGCAGCCTAGGACTGGACTGACTCCACCACCTGAGGATCATGGCTATGTGAGAGGGCGGTCACGAGTGGGTGCGTTGACCGTGGGCAATGTGTTACAATGGCGACTCAGTGCAGCAGGCCTGAGCCACATCACGACCAAGCACGACATGACGAACGCCTTCGCCAGCGTCGCGCACCACCACCTCGACGACACGGTCCAGCAGCTGTGCCAGCCTGAGGATGTGGAGATTATGGTAACACGACATCGGAACACAGCGTGCGTGGTCGACGCTTGTGATGGCACGGGTGTATTTCAGAACCGAGTGGGTTGTTTCATGGGTGACGCAGACGCGGCCACGAAGTTTAGGCTGGCTTTTGAGACGCCGACGGCTGAGTGGAGGAGGGGTCTCTTTCCTACGACGTCGGTCCACGAGCTGATAGCAGGGTGCGCAGTCACTCAGGAAGTGTGCGATCTGGGAGTGAGGAAGTATGCTGATGACCTCACATGTACTCATATTGCCCCAGACGCGCGCAGTGCAGCTCGTCGGGTGGAAGTTTCAGATCAGTACCTTGATGCTGCACTGGGACGAGTTGGCCTCGCCCAGAGCCGTGAGAAAAAAACTGTTAGTCCATGTTTCGTGGGACGAGGGGCTCAGAGGTCTGCAAGGGCCCTGCACTACCACGAGGTCGCCATCTCGGGGGAGGTCCAGGCGACCTCGGTGTTCTTGGGAGCTCACACGCAGTCTTCGGGGAGGAACGACGAGGAGATCCGAGCTAGATGCGCGGCGATCCGAGTGGGATGGCGAGGAATGGGGAAGTTCTGGAAGACCTGTCAGAATTTTAATCGGAGGCGTCTGGTGTTTCGGGCTCGTCTTATAGGAGCGGCGCTGGCGGGACTTGAAGCTCGGGTTTTGACAGAGGAGTAGGTCAGGCGTCTTGACTCGGTGGCTACGCGCTATGCTGCTGCGCTGTGCAATGGGGTAGCGGTCAATCGCAGGCTGAACGGGGGTGAGGTGGAGGAGGGAGGCGAAGCTGCGGAGGCCCGGTGGAAGGTGACGACGGTGTGTGCGGAAGCCGTGTGGAAGCGCATCGCGATAGTCCCCCCCAGCGTGGAACTTGGTATCCGACGGCTCCGCCACTTTCAAGCTCTCGTCCGTAATCCCCAACGGCATGATCAGGAGCTCGCTGCTGTTTTCGGGAAAATCACGTTCGAGAACCCAGAGATCCAGACTTTTGCGTGGGCGCCACCGTGTGCCCCGCCCATCACCCCAAAGGATCGCGCGAACCCCTGGGCCCTGTTGTACAAGAACGACCTGTTTCTTCTTGGGAAACTCCAAGGGGGCCTGGATTTCCTGGAGACGGTGGGGGACGATCACATGAAGGTTTCCCTGGACGCAGAACTGAAACAGCAGTTTCTCAAGTTCGATGCAGCGAAGCTCCGCAAGGTCTGGCTTGAGCGCCCCACAATTACTCCCACGAGGCCGTACGAGGATCAAGAGTGCTTCGAGGGCGGTTTTCTGTGTTCGCTGGTCGACGAGGAAGGTCTGGAATGCAACCGTAGGTTTCGCACAATGGCGGCGCTTCGTGCGCATCAGGCACACGCAGGCGGAGGGGAGCACGGAAAACTGAACTTCGTCACGAGATTGACAGTGACGAACCAGTGTCCTTCGTGTTTGTCATCGTTCGCTTGTCGCCGCACTGCTATCAACCACATCGCTGCTGCTTATAGACATGGACGATGCATCGCTGACTTCTCGGTGTTCAATCATGCTGTCATCGCTCCGCTGCTGTTTGAGTGCCCAGAAACAGAATGTGGCCAAGATTTCGATGATCTCCAAGCCCTGCAGCACCACATTCGCACTACTCATCTTCCTCAACCTCGGCCGCATGTCGTGGATGCAGGGGCTGCCCGAGATAGCCGAGGGCGACGCCGAAGGACGGCCGAGGAAGACAGCCAAGGGAGGGCGCAAGAGCGGCCCCCAGACCGCCAAGGCGGCCAACGCTACTGGCAAGGGCGGCGGCAACGAGAAGGCGAAGAGGAAGGACACGAAGCTGGTGGACCTCAGCGAGCTCGACGGAGACGAGATAGAGGTGTCGACCATGCAGAAGTTCTTTCCCGTGATGATGCGTTTGTTGCTGAACCTGGCGCACCGCCAGAGGCAGATCGAGTCGATCGAGCTGAAGACGTTCCTCATGTCGTCAGGGCTGCAGCCAGCGGTCAAGGCGCGGGGACGAGTACGAGCGTGGATTCGCGCCGCCGAGGAGATCCGTGCAGGCAACGACAAGGAGCAGGACCAAGTGAAGATCAAGCAGATGGGTACGATCTCAGTGGCATGCTTCGCGGGAGTGTTCGAGGGACTGCTGGCAGAGGGAAGCGCGGTGGGCCGCGCGAACCAGCAACAACTCAGCACTCTGAAAGAAGAGCTAGCGAAGCTGACTGTTCACGAGATGGGCGAAGTAGTGCCGATGGCGAAGCTCTCAGACTGCTACGAGGAGGGCAAGGTGAAGCTGGTGTTGTCGTTCGGGAGCCGAGTGAACCTGACCCCCGTGCTGGAGGCCCTAGCCCAGGCAGGGGCAGACTACAAACAGGGGATGGCCCCGATGGGCCACTTAGAGAGGCTGATCCACACGGGCCTGCACGAGATCGAAGGAGGCATGATAGACTAGGCCGAACACAGTCACCAGACGCGGGACCACGGCGCGAGGGGCCAGAGGAGAAACGACGACGACAGGATGCCGTGGTGAGAAGGCTTTGTGAGGCTGCACGTGAGGCCCAGGTGACCCCTCCCCCCTCCTCGCAAATTCCTCCGACTCTCCACCCCTGTGCCCGACAGGCTGCCAGTAGGACTCTGGAGACTCCCACCCCTTCCTCTCGGCCTGACGAGCCTCCTCTCACCTGCCCCACCCCCGCACCTCGGCTCCAGGTGGTACCGCCACGCCCTGTCGAGACCCCAAGACCCGTGCGGCCTCGGAGGCCCCCTACGGACCCTGGAGCGCGCGCTGTTTCTGGAGGCGCGTCTAGGGACCAAGGTGGAGCCCGACAGGGCTCTAGGTTTTCTGAGCGCTTTAGCCAGGCTGACCAGTCAGCCGTGCTTCGACTTCTCGCGGGGGCATCGCGGTAACTACTGAACGTAGTAATGTGCCGCGAGATGCGTGGTCGCACATCGCATACTTAAGCTCGGGTTTAGCCCGATCCTAGACGCGTTTGGGCTCGTGGGAGTGACGGGGCCGCCTCCAATGGGTTCTAATCTAATCTAATCCTTGCTAAAGATGCTAGCGCCCACGCCTGTCACGACTCTTGAGGTACGTGACCCATGTCCTAAGCTCCCCGGGTCGGGGCTGACGCACAAAGCGCAAACTGACAACAGTGTATACGATCGGTTCCGCGAAGAGAGACATGCCCTATGCACATGAGGTTTGAGATGTCGTAGCGTTAAAGCTAAGTAGTGGTCCTTCATCATCTTCTGGCCAGGTCTACTTTCCGCCCGGCATCCACCTTCGTCCTCTGTACTGCTGCAAGCCCAACTCTTCAACGACTATCTCGTCATGCCTTTGGCCAGCCTCATACCGCAAGGCTGACCTGTTCAACTCCACAATTCAATCGGGAATTTAAGCGGCCTCGAATCGCGCGGCCAAGGTCCGAGCTTTCCCAGATGTGTAACATCGAATGTCATGCGATGTTTTAAGCCAAGCATTGTCAATGTCAATGCCAAGTGAAGCAACACCGCCCCAAACTGCTGTCCGCCGGACCATCTTGCATTTACACACACCTATATATATATATATATATATCCTGGCCAAAAACCCAACCATATGCAGTTGTCAGTACCGCAATTGTGGATATCTTATTCGGTGGAACTCCCGTTGGGGCCACGGAGTACTGTGCTGGGTGGGAGGGAACGCGTGCGGGCGGTAGCACTGGGGCCGTCGGTGGAGCTCCGTATGGGGCCACGAAGCGCTGCAATGGGTGGGGGCCGCATGCGGGCGGTAGCACTGGGGCCTTCGGTGGAGCTCCCTCTGGGGCCATGCAGCGCTGTGCTGGGTGGGGGGAACGCATGCGGGCGGTGGCATTGGGAGCTTCGGTGGAGCTCCCTATGGGGCCACGGAGCGCTGTGCTGGGCAGGGGGGCCGCATGCGCGCAGTAGCGCTGGGACCTTCGGTGGAGCCCTTTTATGGGGCCATGAAGCGCTGTATTGGGGGGGGGGCGACGCACTGGGACCTTCGGAGGAGCTCCCTACGCGGCCTCGGAGGAGCTCCCTACGCGGCCACGGGGTAGGAGGAGCGCATGCAGGCGGTAGCACTGGGGCTGTCGGTGGAGCTCCCTATGAGGCCACGAAGCGCTGTACTGGGTGGGGGGGACGCATGCGGGTGGAAGCAGAGGGACCTTCGGTGGAGCTCCCTACGGGGCCACGAAGCGCTGCACTGAATGGGGGAGCCGCATGCGGGCAGCAGCGCTGGTTCTTTCGGTGGAGCTCCCCCACGAAGCGCTGTACTGGGTGGTGGGGACGCATGCCGGCGGTGACACTGGGGTCGTCGGTGGAGTTCCCTATGGGGCCACGAAGCACTGCGCTGGGTGGGGGGAACGCACGCGGGCGGTACAACTGGGACGCTCGGTGGATTGAGCTCCCCCTGGGGCCACGGAGCACTGTGCTGGGTGGGGGGACGCATGCGGGCGGTAGCATTTGGGCCTTCGGTGGATCTCCCCATGGGGCCACGAAGCGCTGTAC